GCACTCTCCTCAGTTATTTTCCTTAAAATGTAGCATTTTTGGCTGGGCATAGTGGCTCATCCCTGTAATCCTGACATTTTGGGAGGCTGGACCAGGATTGCTTGAGCCCAGGAGTTCAAGACCAGCCTAGGCAACTTGGCAAGACCCTGTCTCTACAAAGCAATAACAAAAAATAAGCTGGGCATGGTGATGTGCTCTTGTAGACTCAGCTACTTGGGAGGCTAAGATGAAAGGATCACCTGAGTCCAACAGGTGGGGACTTTGGTAACTGTGATAGTGCCACTGCACTTCAGCCTGGGTGACAGTGAGAATTTAACTTTTAAAAAAAACAAGTTTTAAATTAGGCTTCTTAAATGAGGTTTTTAAAAAAGGATGACACCTCTCATTCTGAAGACCTATGAACTAAGGAAACAGGTTTTACGCGTGCCACACACCAAACATACAGCAGTGCAACAGAGATAGGATAACTATCTCCCTTTCAAGAAGGGAAAAACATGAGTCACATAGCATTCCCTGGCCCATAAAGATTCTGAAATTTAGCTAGGCACATGCCACCAGTTCCTTGAATAATCCTTTTCCCTAGGAAAACACTTGCTTTGTCACTCAGGCAGGAGTGCTGTGGCACCATCATAGCTTACTGTAACCTCTGACTCCTCGGCTCAAGGTATCCTCCTGCCTCAACTTCCTGGGGTAGAAGGATCACCTGAATCCAGGAGTTAAGAGGTTACAGTGAGCACCTCATCACACCCATCTAACTTTTTGTTTTTGTAGATAGATGTAGCTATTTTGCCTAGGCCAGTCTCAAATGCCTGACATCAAGCAATCCTCCTGCCTCAGCTTCCCAAAGCACTTGGATTACGGGCATGAGCTACCTCACCCAGTCTAAAATATGCTTGTTTTTTTTGTAGTTCCAGTTGTCTTTGTGAGGGGGAGGAGTGCTAGGGCCTCTAGTCTGTCATCTTCTCTGAGTCTCTATTGTCTAATATTTCTCTGTGAGTCACATTTTTCAGTTTCTGTTCACATCCAGTAACTTTTGAGAGCCAGACATCATCCTGGACCACTTCAAAGTCCAGTAGGGCAAATTTCATTCAATTTCAAGGCCTGAGAATAACGCTATGATTCAAAGATCTGCTCTTTGGGGTTATAGTGTCTGATTCTGCACCCAGAGTGCTACCCTCCCAAAGACATGGCATCTTTGACTGTTTTCTGTATATATTATCTTCTCTATAATACTATTAACCTTTTAAAATTTTTATTTTGGGGGGACTTTTATTTTTATCCTCTGTTCAATATATGCTTTCATAAATTTTTATTCTCCCCTGGGTCTTTTCTAAATTTGTCTTTTTTCCCTCTCAATTTCATTCTTGAATAAATGCAGGTCCTGTTATACATCTTTCTACTGTCTATTCCTCTAAGTTTCTGAATTCCCAATTCCTGGGTTCATAAATGTAGATGCTATTAATTAAATTCAGTTGGAATGTTCTGAATTAATAGTTTTCTCTGGTTCATGACTTTATTTTGGGGGGTAATTCAAGATTCAAAAAAATTGCTAACAGCAAATTTGTATGGAAGGTTTTTTTCATGTGTAGTATAAACTCCTCACATGATGATAGCAACAATTCTATGGACAAACATAGCAAAGAATGTGGGGGAGAGGTTACTGTTTTTTGGTTCAGAAGCACAGTTGTCTTATTTATAAAGTGAAGAGCAATTTCCTTTTAAAAAAATATGCACTGAGGAGGCATTTTAAAAATTCTTTGATATCTTGTTAAATAAGACCCTTCAATGACTTGTTTTCCCTTTCATCAGTAAGCCTCCAAAGGACATCAGCTCCTCCTAAGATGCCTCCCTCTTTTCCAGAACTAATCACCCAGTGTTTCCACATCTGATCATATACAATTCCCAACACTTATTTTCTGTTCTTCAATAGCTGGTTACGACTTGTTTTATTTCACCATTCAGAATTACATCTTCTCCTGAACTCAAGCTCATGTTGGGTCACTATCAGAACCCTTCTGCATTCTTTTAAGTACTTCCTTTTCAAATCATTTTCTGCTCTACTGTGGGATCTTGGGGTCTTAGATGTTTATTTCCCAACTTAGATTTAAAGTTTGTTGCATTCTCTGAAATTTAATATGCTTAGACATGGTCTCTAAGTGATTTTTTAAAAAGAGATTTGTAAAGTAGTTGAAATTTAGGTGATTGTCATTATACTACAAGAATCTTACACTTTTTTTTTTTTGAGTTGGAGTCTCACTCTGTCACTCAGACTGGAGTGCAGTGGCTGCTCCCAGCCACCGCAGCCTCGACCTGCTGGGCTCCAGGGATCCTTCTGCCTCAGCCTTCCAAGTAGCTGGAACTACAGGTGCACGCTACCACGCCCAGCTGATTTTTTTTTTTTATTTATTGTAGAGATGAGGTCTCACCAAGTTGCCCAGGTGGGTCTTGAACCCGCGGCCTCAGGCAATCCACTCACTTCAGTCTCCCAAAGCCCGAGATTACAGGCTGAGCCATCAAGCCCGGCTGAATCTTACACTTTTAACTATGACATACAAGGCAACATGGAATGGTTGTGCAATTTATGTACCACACGGGAGGCACTGGGCTGAAATCTAGCCCTATCTTCATTTGCTGTGTTCTGTTGTGAAACCGCATTTTCAGAAGAGCTGCCTCATTTGTGGGGCTCTACCCACCTACACACGAAGCTTTCTCTAATGTAAAGTCCAGATGGCAGTTTTCTTCAAAAAAGTTTCTCTTTAGGAGAGGCCTTTAGAGATATTTAAATATACTGGAAGTATTGTAGTTTTCTGTTGTCTTCATTTCTGAATGGCCACAGTAGCTTGATGCATTTTCTGCAAAATACAGAACAAAACAAAAACCCCAAATACATACAACTAGATACTATTTTAAGAATATCTTTGCTCATGTACATAAAAAACTGAAAAAAAAGGTAATCATGATGCAATTCCAGAAGTGACACTGGGGAGAAAATTGTAAAAGATTAACAAACTTAAATTTAACACATGTCAAAGGGCTGATACACGATACTGGTTGAGTTCTGTTACACAGGCCATACCTGTACATTGAACAATCAACTGTACATGAGTAAAGTATTTTTTCCATTGTGGAGATAAGTGTGTTGTCATACCAATTGTTACTATTACCTATCTGCATTTGCAGTGGGAGAACTTAAAAGCTTTCTTGTTCCAAGGAGCCTTGTGAAACAATGTGATGCTCCAACTCAGCATTAGCTCCCTGAATTATAAGATCACATACATAAAGCAGCTGCCAAGCAGAAGGGAAAAAAATCTTTGAAAGTTCAAAGACAGATTCATCTTTGAAAATATCTGTACTTAATCTATACACATTTAAAAAATACTAACAGGAACATTCAAATAATCTATGTTCAGCTTTTTCCAGGTATTTCAAAGGGTGACATTTTAACCTTCAGCTTAATTACGTTCAAGCATCAAAAATATCTCAACAATTCAGAGGAATGTTCCTGACACAGGGCCACTTTACTCAACAAAACAGCACCCAAAGTCATGAAGTGCTATTTGGTATAAAAATGAAGCTTCTTTTTCATTAACACACACTCAACAAAATTATCTTTGGTGTCACTTTCCTGAGCAAAATTTAAAGGAGTTTGGAAAAATATTACTCCCTAACATTTAGATTATTTTTTACTCCAGCGAATGTTACAATAAATATCTGTGTGCTTACATTTTCATGCATGGGTGCTTTTATTTTTATAGGATAATTTCTCAAAAGTAAGATTGTTCATGGAAAAGTATGTGTATTCAATTTTAATATACAAACAGGTAACTTTGTAGCACTTTATTTCTGCCAGCAATGGTTGAGTGTGCCGATTTCCTTGCAACCTCACCAAGATGAATGTTGTTACTATTTAACCTTATACCAATCTGATGAAAACTATTATTGTTTAAAACATTCCATTACCTATTAAAGGATGAACATACTATATCCTTGACCTTTTCCATATCCAAGTCTGTGAATTGCTTATGCACAGTATGACCTTTCTCCAATAACTCTTTGATTGGGGTCTTTTGCCATATGACATTTAAATGTTTTATTAAGTAAAATATGACTGGGTTTCCAATATTGTTAAAAAGATCATTCAGCTGGGCACAGTAGCTCATGAATGTTATCCCAACACTTTGGGAGGCAGAGGCAAGAGGACTGCCTGAGCCCATGGGTTTGAGACCAGCCTGGGGAACTTGGCGAGAATTTCTCTCTACAATAACTCAAAAAAAAGTAACCGGGTATGGTGGTGTGGCGTGCCTATGTGGTTCCAGCTACTTGGAAGGCTGAGGTGGAGGGATCATCTGGGCCCAGGAGGTCAAGGCTGCGGTGATAGTGAGTGTGCCACTGTACTCCAGCCTGGGTGACAGATGAAACACTGAATTAAAAAAAAAAAAGACAAAAAAAAGATCACTCTCATCCTAAGATTGTGTAAGTATTTTCTTTAATTGTATATCTTTGTATGTTTCAACTGTTGAGACCAATATGAGAAATTTCTGCAATTTTTTAAAAAAGAAGAGCAAGGGCAAAGAGAGAGCAAGTAAGGAAGATAAAGATGACTGTTCCATGGTTTTAGTTAAGAAAAATCTTACATTTTAGAAAATGAGACTTCCTATGTTGTGAATTCTTGTATTATCATAAAGCCACATTTGCAGAAAATGCACAATAAATATTCTGATGTAGCCCCTCCATGTGGATAATGAAATTTTGCGTATATGTACATCATTTTATACTTAAATGTAAATTTTAAATATTTTTATTTCCACCTTTTTTGAATAATGCTTACCTATTAAGTTAAAAAGACTGTAGAACTTGAAGAATAGGATATTTGGGAAAGTTATTAAATTCTCCTACATTAACCAAATACAAATACAGAAATTCTCCATTTTAAAATGTCACATAGTTTAAGTCAACTAAATTGGCACAAATATCACTTAAAACAACAGTATGCCCCCCAAAAAGTTTCTGCATGATTGTTTATTTAAAATATTATGACTCTGAATGTAAATACATATGGGCTCACATAATTTATGGTTGTTCATATAAACCCTCAATTAAAATGATTAATTGTTCATCCTCAATGTCTTTGTTCTAATAAGCATAATAGTAAATTTTCTACTGAAAGTGTTTAAAGCCTTTTGAATCTTTGTTATAAGAAATTACTGAAAAATAACTTAAGCTTAACTACATTAAACAATACTATTATTTGCAATGCTGTCACACATTTCTCCATGGCAAGATAGTCACACATGGTTATTGCACAATTTATAGGTACAGATTATTATGTGCATAAAAACTCTCTACATAATGACAGTGTTTTTGCTGCAACTTGCTCAACACATTTAAAATTGTTGAAATACAATTTACAAAATCTTTAACAATATACTTTTAAGATAAAAGTATCCTGAGGATATTACAAAATTCATTTTACCAGCCCTTCATTGCTTTGCTTTGCTTTACTTGACTCTTTAATTCCCAAGATAATAGTTGTCCTTATTTTATTACATAAAATGCTCTTTTATATTTCCTATTAAACAAAATATATTTAAGCTAAATAGTATACAACTGTCCCATAAACACTTAGTCCCATCTGCCTGCAGTCTCATTGGTTAAAATCAAGTATTTATCAAGTTTCCTATAATTCTGAATCAGAAAAGGTACAGCACAAAACAGAAATAGGGTTAGCACATTTAAGTTAAAAGCATTGTGCATTTTTAATATTTTGGTCATATTTTATAATAAAATAATATATTTTGGCAAAAATAAAATATAAGGTTTAGTTTTTTTTCTATTAATGGTAGATCTGAAGGATAATTTACATTTGTAAATACTATGTACTCAATTTCACTGTTTTCACATTTGTTTCTAAAAACACTGCTGTAAGGTTTTCAGAATTTTGAGATTAAAGCACCTAAAAATTAAGAAATAAGATAAAATTTAAGCAAAACATTTGTTGATGCTCAAAAATCCTTTGACAAATTCACAAACTTACTTTTAAGTGTCTTATTTTATGCCAACACAGAATCTTTATTGCCTGCTAAAACTTATTTGACTTAATGCAATCTCTAAAATAATAATCTTGGAAGTCTTCTTGAAATTTATTTGAAAATAGGATGGAAATTCAAGATTAAAAAAATGAAAAAACATAGTTGCAAAGAAAGTTATTCTGGTGGCAGTAGTTGTTATGGCACAAAAACATGTGAAAAGATGTAGTTTTTGCTTATATATACATAAACTCTTCAAACAAGATGCGTAAGAGATATATACACACATACACACACACATATGTATACATACACATTAACTTGGGCTCCAGAGAGGAAATTGATGAAAACTTCACAAAATGAGCCATTTAGCTCATTTATCACTTAAGTTCCAATGATAAATCTAATGGAGATGTTCATTATTTGATTCTTATCCAAATGTCAATCTATCATTAAGAAGAGTTAAGAGGAAAACAGTTTGAGATGTATAAGGCTGATAATGGAAGTGACAGTGTGATGAGTTCAGTGATGAGTATTATGTACAACTGCCTTTACAAATAGGGTATCTTTACTGGGAAATTCATGCAGAGATATCTGCAGAAGAGTTTATCAACAATAAGAAAACAATGACATACGGTAACATACTATAGCAAGTATTATTACAGCAATACTTATACATTATACTTTACACAATATAGTCTAATTCTGAATAACCTTGGTTAATTTTTAAGGCATCAGTGCATCAAGGGCAAAGCTCCATAAAATAAATATGAAAACAAGAAAGCATTAGCTTATTTGTAGTATAGATAGTGATCACTGTATATTACATCTGTTGGCCACTTCCATGTAGGTAATAAATTATATATCTAATTTTGAAAATATTACAGCATAAATTTCACATCATTCTTCAACACTTCATTTAAGGGGCTAAATTGATCTGGCAGTATTCTCATTTTCATTGTTCCATCAGCTCCACAAGAGAAAATGTGATTTGCTGGCCCTGTCTCAATTTGCATCACTCCAGTTCCAATATTTCTAAAAATGGATTGCCGAGCATGTTCATTGATAAAAGTGTGGAGAAGACCAAAAGTAGAGAGACTCCAAATCTGAAAGATATTAAGAACAATATGAAAATTAGGGTTGATGATTACCTTAAGAATCCAAATGAAAATTTTAGGCCTACCTTCTGTTATAAATAAGGAATTTCCAAAACAGAAGTGGAGAAAAATCTGCATGGGCCTAAGATCATAACACCTTGATTCTTTATAGGGTATTAAAATTTAGCAATTGCTTTACCATTATTAAATACTTAAAAATTCATCCAGTAAGAGTGCAAAAGAGAAAATTTAGGTTCAAAGAGGTTAAGTGTACAATGTTATAAAAACGTATAATGCTATAGGGATTACAGTCAAGGTTTCCTATCTCTCAACAGAACTTTTGCTGTGTAGTTATATAGTAGGGAAATCCCTTCTCTGTAATATTGAATGCTTACCAGAAGATCAGAACAGCTAGAAAGAGGGAAGAACTTGACACCTAGAGGCCCTCACACCAAAGCTATGCTTTAACTATAAGACAAAGTAAACTACTAAAGCTTCATATATTTAATTTACTAAGATTTTCTACTTTCAGCCCTTATCAAAATAAATATGGCTGTTTTTAAAACAAATTATTAGCATTTTCACTTAACTGGAGGACCTAAGTGCTTTCAGGACATATATTTTAGGCTTAAAGAAACCAATTTATTTCCTGATATTACTGGAGATCACTTAAAAAATCTTTCTTTCTTTAAGAATTCATTAATTCCTACTATCCTGAACATGAATTCATTAAATTATGGCTTTTGAATACACTATATATTTAAAATCTTTTTTTAACCTTCATTAAACAATACACATAAAATCAGAGTATAAACTAAAGAACTAATCTAAAACTAACTACGACTCACTCTCAACTGGAAGCAGTCCAAATAAGAAACTAGTTTCAAACTGAAGGAAATAATTTTGTTGGTATATATATTTGATTTTAAGAAAAGCCTTTTTTTGGAGTCAAAGCCTCACTCTGCCACACAGGCTAGAGTGCAGTGATCTTACCCCCTCAGCCTGCCAAGCAGCTGGGACTATAGGCATGCACCACCACTCCCAATTAAATTTTTGATTTGTTGTAGAGAGGACTCGCTGTGCTGCCTTGGCTGGTTTCAAACTCCTGGGCTCAAGCAATCCTCCTGCTTCAGCCTCTGAGAATGCTAGGATTACAGGCGTGAGCCACTGCACCCAGCCAAGAAAAGCTTTTTAAAAATTCTGTAATTCTAGTTTTTTTTCCTGGCTGAGAATTATGAAAAAAATTTGCTAGTTCCAAAAATTCAAGTCCACCTTATTGCACTAAATATTCTCGTTAGTGCTTACATTAATAAATTTTAGGAAACTCAGTTAGGCATGGTGGCTTACAACTATAATCCCAGCACTTCAGGAGGCCGAGGTGGGAGAACTGATTGAGCCCAGGAGTCTGAGATCAGCTTGGCAACATAGTGAGACCTCATCTCTTAAAAAAAATTAAGAAAAAAAGAAAAAGGCCAGGCACAATGGCTCACACCTATAATTCCAGCACTTTGGGAGGCCAAGGTGAGAGGATTGCCTGAGCCCATGGTTTTGAGACCAGCCTGGGCAACTTGGTGAGATCTCATCTCTACAAGAAATCAAAAAGTTAGCCAGGCATGGTGGCACATGCCTGTAGTTGCAGCTACTTGGAAGGCTGAAGCGGAAGGATCGCCTGAGGTCAGTAGATCGATGCTGTGGTGGCCGTGAGTGTGTGCCACTACACTCCAGCCTGGGTGACAGAGTGAGACTTCAACTCCAAACCCCCCGCAATCAAAAAAACAAAGACAGACAGAAAAATAATAACAAATTTGAGGTATCTAAACCCCTCACACCTAGGGTTACTTATCATTAAAATAACACAGGGACTAGACTAAACTGACTTATCCATTTCCAAGTGGGGTCAGAAGACTTATTAAAATCATTAGACATGTTGTAAAAATGATGATTTCAGAGTCTTACCAATGGAGTATTTCTGGGATGGGACTCAACAATTTGCATTTCTGATAAGCTGCTCAACATTTTTTTAACAAGCAGCTTAACATTTTAAATAATTTCTCCAAGTTTTAAACACAATGGAGTCTGAAAAGAACTGCTCGAGGCAGGATTTATCCAAGTATATTCAGAATTCTTGAATTAGGCACTGAGTGGTTGGCTACTGATGTTATAGTACATGGAAAAATGGGGAGCAATATGGGATAAAGAAAATATCAGTGGATTTCTCAGTACCTGAAAATTAAATTCAGTAAATTATATAACTTTGAGGATGGAGTAAAGACTAATTGTAATACGTAAACTATATTTTTATCCAAAGAAAATTTAGTTCTTTAGCATAAATCAATTAAGCATTCTTTGAAACAACTGAAAAACAGAAATTTTTCAAGTTAAATATTATTTCATTCACAAAAGGTTTATTAAATAGAAACTAGCCTCACTCTGCCACACAGGCTAGAGTGCAGTAATCTTTCCCCCTCAGCCTGCCAAGTAGCTGGGACTACAGGCAGGCACCACCACTCCCAACTTGTTGTAGTGAGGACTCGCTATGCTGCCTTGGCTGTAGCACTGCTGACTACAAAGGAGAAACTAATATTACTATTACTTAAATAGACTGGTGTCATCAATATGATTAAAGGTTTCTGAAGATTCTTTTTATATTGTAGATTTTGTACATCAACTGTGTCTACCTTTACATTGCCTTCAGCAGATCCTGTAACAAAGTACTCTTCAGTTGGATCAATAGCGATGGCCTTGATGGGAGAATCATGGCTCTGGAAAAGTTGTTTCTGTTGTCGTTGGCGAAGGTCAAATACACATGTAAAACCTTTTCTGCCACCTGATATTAGCAGCTGATGTTTTGGAGCATACGCTAAAACTGTGGCTCCACTATCATGGCAGGTAAAAGCTAAAGGTAAACAAAACAAGACAACTCATTTAATAATAAACACACTTCTGGCTTTGGGCCAGCATGCAATAGTAGACCAGATTTGCTCTCCTGCCTGAATTTAAAAATCAAATGAAATATTAAAAACAGTGATTTGAGACACCGGACATCAGGCAATGAAGAAGAATGATCTTGGAGAGATGGAAAAAAACTGGATGACTCATACACCTGCCCTAGCTTATTGTCCTAGAGTTTTCTTAGTTGAGCTGGGTGCTATCCCCGCTATAGTGGAAAACCTCATAATTCACAAAGCATAATTGGGTAGAGTACTCAGAAGAGGTTGCCTCAGTAGTGAAGCAAAATCAGCCCTAGACCAAATGTTGCTTTGGTCCCGTTTAACCAAGGCCCCCTCCAAATACAACTATTTCCAAGTAACTGAGCCTTGTCTCAGAACAAAGCTCAAAAATATTTACAGAATACAAAATAATCAGCACTTAATAAGATAAGAGTCACAATGCCTGATATTTAACAATAAATTATCAAGAATGCAAAGCAGAATATAATCCATAAGGAGAAGAAAAACACTTCAATCGAAACTAACCCAGAAATAACACAGATGGTAGAATTAGTAGATAAAAAAATTAAAAGTCATCATTACTGTACTCCATATGTTCACAAAGCTGGATGAAATACTGAGCAAGTAGAGACATAAAAGAGTACAGATCAAAATCTTAAGAGATCAAAATTATAGTGCTCAAATTTAAAAATATATACTGGATGGGATTAATAATAGATTAAACATTGCAAACAATTAGTGAATCTAAAGATATACCAATGAAATATCAGAAATATAAAAATACAATTACTATTTTTCTTTTTAAAAAAAGAGCACAGATTAACAAATTTTAGGGGGAAAATGTTTATATAGTCCAAGAGAATATAGCATAATGAAGAGTTAGGAATCTGTAATCAGACTACCTGGATTTAAATCCTGGTTTCTGTTTGGGTCTAAATGTATACGGTAGGTGAATCATTTACTTAATGATTATCAGTTTCATCATTTGTAAAAGAGAAAATAATATCACCTACCTAATAAAGGATTAAATTAGTTAATGTATGCAAAGCATGTATCTATGGCATATACTAATCAATCAATAAATTTTAGTTATTATTATTGTTAAGACTCTAAACAAAACTAATATAGAGAAGGGACTTTAACCAGCATTTTGAGATATAACTTTACAAGAGTAAAGTGCACAAATTTCAAGTGTACATCTTGAGGAACTATGACATATGGATACATCTGTGTAATTATCACTAAGATCAGGATATAGAATATTTTTATCATTCCAGAAGGTTTCCTCAAGCCCCTTCATAGTCAGTTCTCCTCTCCAACAAAGGTAATCACTATTCTGACTTCCATCCAATTAGTTTTGCCTTCTTGACCTTCATATAAATGAAATTTTACAGTATATACTCTTTCATGTCTGGCTTCTTTCCTTCAATGTGATGTTTTAGAGATTAATCAATATTGTCCCATGTATTGGTATATCATGCTTCTTTAAAATTTGATAAATAGTATTCCATTACACAAAAGTATTTCAGTCTTCTGTTGGACATCTGTGTTGTTTTCAGGTTTTGGCTATTATTATTATTATTTTTTTTTTTTTGAGTAGGAGTCTCACTTTGTTACCCAGGCTGGAGTGCAGTGGCACACTCATGGCCACCCCAGCGTTGACCTGCTGGGTTCCAGCGATCCTTCCACCTCAGTCTTGGTAGCCAGAATACAGGCACGTGCTACCATGCCAATTTTTTTTTCTTTTTATTGTAGAGACGAGGTCTTTTGTTAAGTTGCCTGGGTTGGTCTCAAATCCGCAGGTTCAGGCAATCCACTCGCCTCAGCCTCTCAAAGTGCTGGGGTTACAGGCTGAGCCACTGAGCCTGGCCTTGGCTATTATTTTTAAAATTCTTGAATATATCATTTCTCTCATAGATGGTGTTTTTGGTGTTATATCTAAAAATTCATTACCAAACCCAAGTCACCTAGATTTTCTATGATTTCTTCTAGAAGTTTTATCATTTTACATATAAGTTTATGATCTATTTTGAGTTCATTTTTATGAAAGGCAAAGCTAGAACAATTGACATTCAATTGTTCTAGCACTAGTTGTTGAAAAATCCATATCCTTTCTCCACCAAATTACCTTTGTGACTTTATCAAAGATCAGTCTGTATGTCTATTACTGAGGTTCCTATTCTGTTCCATGATCTATGTGCCTATTCTTAAGCTAATACCATAACGTTTTGATTACTGTAGCTTTATAGTAAGTCCTGAAATCAGATAGTGTAGTGTGAGTTTCCCAAGTTTGTTTTTCTTCAGTATTTCACTGACTAATCTAGGTCCTTTTCTTTTCATATATATTTTAGATCAGCTTGCTCATAGCTACAAAATAGGAGGTTGGGGTTTTGATTAGGATTGTATTCAATCTATAAAGTTAGGAGGAAATGACATTTTAATTATATTGCATTACTACTGCTGGAAATGTTCTCAAGAAGCAGAGGAAAGTCATGACATTACAAGAGTTACTGATATGCAGATTGAGGTCTGAAGCTGAGGTTACCTGCCATTTCAGACAGATAATTCATCTTGTAAACTGATACTGCTATAATCTTACAGTATCCATATAGTATAGTGCTTTATTTTCTCTTCCTTATGATTTTCTTAATACCAGTTTTTCTCTAGCATATATTGTAAAAATACAGTATATAATGTAGACAACATACAAAATATGTGTTCACTGACTTTATGTTATTGGTAAGATTTCAGTCAACAGTGGGCTATTAGTAGTTAAGTTTTTGGGGAGTCAAAAGTTATATGTAGATTTTTGACTGTGTAAAATTCAGCATCCCTAATCTCTGTGTTCTTCAAGGGTCAACTGCATATATTGACTTTGTATCCTATGACCTTGACCTTTCAATGTATCCTTTAAACTTATACATTAGTTTCAAGAATTTCTTCCGCACATTCTTTAAGATATTCTACACAAAACAATGATGTCATCTGTGATTAAGACAATTTTATTTCTTCCCTTCCAACCTATAAACATTTTATTTCCTATTCTTACATTATTGCATTAGCTAGGGCTTCCAATACAATGTTGAATAGGAGTGAACAGTAGTGAGAAGGGACATAATACTGAGTGGTAACTCATGTTTACAATACTGACCCGTGGCTATCAGATTCAAAGTAAACACAAATGATTTTTGTTTTATTTATGTTCCACTATCCATTATCACATAATGAATTATGCATACTGTATCTTTTTGTTTTCAAATTCTGCCATTGTGGGAAAAATAAACCTCACAGGCTAATGAATACATGTATCATTAAAAACAAATCTATTTTTACTTTATGAATTTTTTGACTTCCAAAATTTATAAAATACTTTCAAAACTTACCATGGACTAAACTATTGGCAGGTGTTACAAGAGTATCCCACAAACATATATTTCTGGAAAAAAAAAATTACTTCTTGAGTGACACAAAAAGTTAACAATAAAAAATAAGTAAAATAAGTATAAATACAGAGCATCTGAACCTTGCTCTCACAGATGGTTCTCAAATTTATAAAAACATCAAATGTAAGTAACCAACAAATTTACAATCTTTATACATAATTTAAAGCTACTAGCTTATAAAATTGAATACATTTAGATTATATATATGCATTTACAAATACTACTGTATGAAGGTTGAATATGGAAACTACTTTTTGTATTCACTGATTCTCTAACCTAACAGCTGGACATACATACACAAATATCAAGGGACAGAATTTTCTTGAGCACAGAGAAAAATGTATTTCTCCTATATGGAGGCACCAATATATACAAGGAATTTCCTTTTTTTTTTTTTTTTTTGAGTTGGAGTCTCACTCTGTCGCCCAGACTGGAGTGCAGTGGCCGCTCCCGGCCACCACAGCCTTGACCTGCTGGGCTCCAGTGATCCTTCCACCTCAGCCTTCTGAGTAGCTGGAATTACAGGCATGTGCTACCACGCCCGGCTAATTTTTTGATTTTATTGTAGAGATGAGGTCTCGCCTGCCCAGGCGGGTCTCGAACCAACGGGCTCAGGCAATTCACTCACCTCAGCCTCCCAAAGGCGCGGGATTACAGGCTCAGCCATCGAGCCCGGCATATGCAAGGAATTTCTAGGGAAGGTGGGCCAAGGAATCCATAGTTCTCCAATCCTGTTTCTAGTGAAAAATCAAGTCTTATAGATAAACATAAAAGTTAATCAACCTCAGTAGGTCTTGATCTCAGAATTCAGTTGTGTAAGAGAAGCTAAAAGAAAGTTGAGGATATGGGGGTAGAAAGAGACACTTTCTTATACATTTAGCTTTCGGTGGTGGGGCTGTCACTAGCTACTGTTTAACTAGTAAGCCTTTCTGAATTTCTTGTTTACTTGTTATGAAACAGTGACTATCAAATATGGCCAAAGTGAGGATTAACTACATTAACTGAATAACATGGTCAAGAAATAATAGTTCCTTTTTTGCCTCAAGTTCTCTTAGTATATAGTGATTAATACAGAAAATATTCATTCCACTAACAACCAAATCCTTTCATTTTTTTCTTTTCTTTTCTGAGAGAGGAGTCTCACTTTGTCGCCCATGTAGGAGTGGCTCATCACAGCCTCAACCTCCTGGGCTCAAGCAATCCTTTCATCTCAGTTCCCTGAGTAGCTGGGACTACAGGTGCACACCACCATGTCTGGCTAACTTTTTATATTTTTTTGGAGAGGCGAGGTCTTGTGTTGCCTAGGTTGGTCTTGAACTCCTGGGTTCAAGCGATCCTCCCACCTCAGTCTCCCAAAGGGCTGGGATTACAAGCTTGAACCACCGCACCTAAAGACTTTACATCAGAATATAAAAAATACAGAAGTGGATTTTGTTTTTAATGGCATCAGAATTTTCCTAGCTTTACAACTAGAACACTAAAAATGCTCTAAGTAAGAAACAAGTCTTTATAATAAAAAACACTGTACCTAGAGGCATAATTATAAAAACATTCTTGAAACAATAAAGAAAAAAAGTTCAGCTGTACATTTCAGCTATTACTTCTTACCTATTGTCAGTTGAAAGACCAGCTGTAGCTATCAGAGAGGAGGAACTAACGAAGACAAAATCATTGGCTGTTTTGTTATGACACTGCCAAGTCTGAAATGATTATAACAATAAATATCAATGCTCTCACTAAAAAATTTCACAACCAGATAGATGTAATGTTCAAAAAGTAATCATGTAGTTTATGGCTTTCTTAAATTCCCCTAAACTTTAGAAGAGTTGCAAAAATTAACACAGAATTTTCATATACCCTTTACCTACATGGAACAATTTTTAACATTTTGCTGTATTTGTTTTGCCTCTCCTTCTTCTTCAGATATAGACACATACACATACACACACCACACAAACTTTTCCCGGTCCATTTGTAGGCTGTATATGTCATCACCCTTTAAGAAACCCTTTGCTTTTGTTCAACCAAAGTTCCAAGGGAAACATAAGGAGATTAAACTTCAAATTTTTCCCTTAGTATAATCAGTGAAAATTTTTGTCTTAGAAGATAGAAACCAGGATTTTAGATAATCTTAGACTGAACTGTCTGTTAAAAAACTGACATCATACATTTTTCAGAAATATTTAAACTTTGAAATAATTATTCAAATACACGAAAAAAATTAATAGCACCAAAACTAGAAAAGGTATAGTATTTCTCAATATTCTATCAAATAATAAACTTAAGAAATTATAAAAGGTTTAGCCACCTATAAAAGCTTCCAAGTTATGTTTAACTCTCTTTAATACAAAATGAATTTTTTAAGTATGACAAAATCACCACACCAAAGATATTTTTTCCTTTGAGCCACCTCTTCATTCCCCTGGAACACCACTAGAGCTGGGTAGATGATGCACCCGTAAAACAAACAAAATCTACATTAATCTGCAAAAGCCAGTTATGCACATTTTATTCCAATTTATTTATTTTTTTACTTAATTCCCAATGTGATAGCATAATTTAGCTTTTTAAAAGTTAAGAAAGCAAACAGTCTCATAGGAACATTAACTTGTACATCTAAATCTGCCAACTTAATGAAAATATAAGAAAAAGTTAATGCTCTTTCAAGATATCCTAGCCAATTCTGCCTTGCTTGCTTTCACTTAGATTAGTACTGTATTGCAGCATTTAACCTTGGGCATATTACCAGAATCTTAGCTTATGTTCTTAACTTCTTACTGATAGGTATTACTTATAGTACTATGAAGGGCTTCACTGAAGAATATATTAAATATAAATTCGACTTTCTATGAAACCATAGAAGGTTCATTAACCCATACAGTTCTGAATAGAGATGTATCAATATTCTGTTAAAAAAGAGATGAATGAGAATATAGCAGTATCAGCTGTAGGATGTTGTTTCTACTTTGTTCATTCATAAGAGATAACTGTAAAAAAATAACCACATGTATTGGTCTGTTAATCATTCTATTTAGGTATAATACTCAGCTCAGTGAGGTTAGAAAAGGGTTCCAGTAATTCATGGGTTGTATGGGTCTCTGGAGGTACCATATTGGGTCTATACACATTAACTTTCCAAACTACCAGAGAATAAGGATTTTTATTCTTCATGAAGCAATTGTCACTTAGTACAAGGACAGGAGCTTACATTAAAGTGACTGGGTATATAGGATGAGATAGTATTAATTGGCTTTAATATTTCTTGCCACAAATATATATTCTTGATTTCTCTAAAATAAAAATTCAAATTTTAATTAAAGGTAGAAATTCTTGGCTTACCAGGTATGGCTTAGGCATGCTTCCAGTAACTGGACAACATTTCCAGTTTGTCTGATACAAACTTAAATATCCATCTGCATCAACTATTCCAAACTTAGAGAAAAAAATTTTTTTAATGTTTAATATAAATATAAAAGCACATATTTATCCCTCCCACCATGACACCCACATTTGACTTGTAAATATTTGACTGATATGTCGTTTGATTTTTCACTTCACCTATGAATGGATCTAATACAGAAAAACATTAAGCTACTGCTTTAAAAAAAAAAAAATTCCAGGTGGACATAATGGAAACAAACATCAGATATCCATTTTATTATACTAACCTACAGCACAGTCTATATATTCTCTATAAGTCCTGCAAAAGTAGGATACTGGATTAACACAGTAAGCTATCTGACAAAGCTTTATCATTCATAAGACAGAAAACTGTTCATTTTGAAAAAGACAAAATAAAGACTTTCAGAAACATACAATAAGGAAAACATAAACAAGAGTAGAAAGCAAAATAAAATAAGGATTATCACAGTAAAAGAATTCTTACTATGGGAACTCAGGGCAATTTTGATTGGAAAGCCAATAAAATAATCCAGTAAGAGAGTATGTGATACAGAACTAAAAGCATGAGTAATATGGCTAAATTTTTTTCTTTAGACTATAAAAATGTGTGCTTATATAAAATATATAAAATAAATGTCTACTTTTGGATTTTCCCCTAGCTCCAGATCTAACACTTATTAACAATTCAGATTTGTTTCTATGAATATTCAAAAATTCACATATAGAGCACTTAAAAATTAGGATCATAATATACAGTTCCACAATTACATTTTTGATGTATTGTAAGTATCTCTTCCATGTCACTACATGTAAGTCTAGCTCATTCTTGTGTAGTATCACACTGCATATGTATGCATATTTGCATTATAATTTAAAACTTTCCCTTTATAGAAAGTTTTCAATTTTTCCTATTATAAAAAGTGCTGCTTTGAAAATTTTTATACATATACCTTTGCACAACTATGTAGGACAGACATCTAGAAATGGGAAAGCTTTGTCAAAGAGCATCATTTAAAATTAATACATGATGCCAAAATTAAATCCTACGCAGTAATATGAAGTTATACCCATATTTTGTTTACACTTTAGTCGACATTGGATATTATTAAAATCTAAATTATCTGTCAGCCAGGCTCGGTGGCTTAGCCTGTAATCCCAGCGCTTTGGGAGGCTGAGGTGAGTGGATTGCCTTTTCGAGACCCGCCTGGGCAACTTGGCGAGACCTCATCTCTACAATAAATCAAAAATTTAAGCCGGGCATAGTGGTGCGCGCCTGTAGTTCCAGCTACTTGGAAGGCTGAAGCGGAAGGATCACCGGAGCCCAGCAGGTCGAGGCTGCAGTGGCTGGGAGCGGCCACTGCACTCCAGCTTGGGTGACAGAGTGAGACTCCAACTCAAAAAAAAAAAAAAATTTGTCAATTTTATCCAGTAAAAAAAAAAATCTAATTTTAATTTGTATTTCTTCAGTTATTAGTGACAGTTATTCACCAAGCATAGCTTTTTGGTAAACTGACTGTTCATATCCTTTGTCTACTTCTCTGTTTTTTTTAAAAAGTCTGATAGAAAGGGCTAATATAATAATGTTAACTTATTGTTTTTATATTTGTTACAGATTTTTTTCCAGAGTCTATTCCTTTTTCTAGTTTATCTTATGTTTTCTGGAGTAGATCTAGGTATCTTCTTTATTTTATTTTTTTATTTTTAATTTTTTTTTCTCTTCTAGATGAGGTCTCACCAAGTTGCCCAGGCTGGTCTTGAACCTCTGGGCTCAGGTAATCCTCTAGCCTCCGCCACCAAGTGCTGGGATTACAGGCATGAGCCACTGTGCCTGGCTAAATCTAAGTATCTTCTTCAGAAAGGGTATACAAATGAAATGTGTTAAGTCCCTGCATATCTAAAAATATGCTTATTATGCTGTCAAATTTGAATGGTATGGGTGGGCACAGACTCAATTCTGACGGATTCCTTATTCATCAGAATTCTGTGGATATTGTTCTATTGATTTGGAAGAAGATATAAGTAATCATTTGCACCTCTACTTCTTTGAGAAGCTTGTAAGATTCTCTCTTTATCCTTGAACTGAAAAATGAAAGATAATCAGGATGCCTGCAGGTATATGCTGCTTCCCAATACTTCCGCCTAGTACTTGGTAGGCACTTTTTTCCTTTGCTTTGGGAAAATATTTGTTACTCCTTTGCATATTGCTTCTGCTTTATTTTTTTCTTCTTCTGAAATATTTCCTAAGTTATTTTCCCATGGGATAATTTCTTAATTTGTGGTTCCCAATTACAAACCAATGATTCCCATTCTGCTGCTCAGCTTTTCTAATAAGGAGCTCCCCTACTGGTCAAAATTCTGGATAATGTTTTTAATTTCCTTGAACTCTTTCCTATTCTCCTACTGACCTTGTTTCAAACTAGTCTGTTTCTGTTTTGTAAATGCAATATAATTCCTGAATCTCTATGAGGAATTGTTCTCATAGGTCATTTATTTTGCTTAATGTTCACTGACTTTTGGCAGTCTATTTCTACTCATAACTGAATACAAGATTCATCAGAATTATTGTGATACAATGTGGGTCATCTCTTCCATTCACCTCCAAAGAATTCCTTATTACTCCAAAGAGACTGCTCCTATGTGGAAGGCTGCAGTGAGTGTTATAGCTGAAAAATAAGTTAGACTGTAGAAGGTCTTAAATACTATGACATGAAAAGCCTTGAAGGGTTATTGAAAAAGCAGTAAGATCTTATCGCTACTGTAGTTATATAACTTTATTGGCAAGATGCAATAGAGAGATAAGGATTGAGGCATACAAACTAGATAAGAGCAATATACTATGAACCAATGGAAAAGCATGACAACGTAAAGGACACTGATATGGAATACAACTGAAAATATACATATCAGAATATATATAAATTTATATTTATATTTATACTTAAGAAAAAAAGCTTCCAGCTATTTCTGTTAAATTGTAAAAAATCCACTCAAACTATTTAATATTTAACCCAGCAATAGCAATACATAAATAACAAATAATCTAAATATGAATCAACTATAAATAGTAATTGTTGTATGGTTATTGCTTCTATATTTTTACATGTGTTAACCCATCAGGTGATAGGTACTAAACCAATAAGTCTTTACTCAAAGATCAGTTGATAAACTAACCAAATAGAATAACAACATAAAAGAATGTATTTTTTGATATCCTGCATACTTGCTTATGAGTTTTCTGAAAAGACAGGAAATTTCTTTTACCAGGAAAAAAAAAAGACTTATTCAGGCCAGGCACAGTGGCTCATGCCTGTAATCCCAGCACTTTGGGAGGCAGAGGTTAAGAGACTGCCTAAGCCCAGAGGTTTGAAGCCAGCCTTGGACAGCTTGATGAGACCTCGTCTCTACAATAAATAGATAAAAAATCAGCCATGCGTGACGGGACATGTCTGTGGTTCCAGCTACTTGGAAGGCTGAGGTGGAAGGATTGTCTGAGCCCAGCAGGTCGAGGCTGTGGTACTCACGAGCATGCCACTGCACTCCAGCCTGGGTGGCAGAATGAGACTCCAACTCAAGAAGAAAAAAAAAAGACTTAATAAATCCCTCACATTTCCCATTAAAGAGCAAAGAATGCTGCTAATTGGTATTAAGAAATATGCTCTCAATTTTTTTCACAACTACCTGAAATTACACTGACTTTTATGAAATGAAAATAGAGCCATGTGGCAAACATGGTGGACAAAAAAGGTAGCACACAATGATTCAAGTAACTTGTGAGGAGGGTTTAAGGTTAGGAGGCTAAGGGGAAAGAAAAGAAAAGATGTACCATCAGTTAGGGTCTGTGGGAGTAATTTTTGGTGAAGACAAAGAACATGCCAATGTATCCTTTAATAGTTGTTTAAAGGGCTATGAGATATTAGGAACAGAAAGAGGCAGTTTGAGGAAAGTAGGATCACGGAAGGTGAAGACAATGAAAGATGGTCTAGAGAAGGGTTGGCAAACTCTTCTTTTGCAACAGGATCTTGCTCAGTTGCTTAGGCTGGAGTGCATGATCATAGCTCACTTTAACTTTGAACTCCTGGGTCCAAGCAATCTTCCTGCCTCAGTGTCCTCAATAAGTAAGACTACAGACATGTGCCAACATCCCAGGTTAATTTTTCCTTTTTCTTTTTTGACAGAGATGGGGTGTTGCTATGTTGGAAGATTATGTTCTTAAATGGCCATATATAAATATTTTAGGCTTGCCAGCTATAAACTCTTTGTCCTGTTGACATCTGCTGTTATGGGGAAAATAGCTATATAAAACAAATAATGAATGAGGTAACTGTGATCCAACAAAACTTTATTTACAAAACAGGTGGTCGGGCTGAAGTTTGCTGATGCCCTGTTTTAGAGCAGTATCTCTCAAAACTTTAATGCACACACAAATCACAACAGTATCTGGTTAAAATGTAGACAATCATTCAGTAGATCTGGAGAAGGGTCAATAGTAAGCATTTCTAACAAGCTCCCAGATGTCACTTGCTGCTGGTTCATACTTAGAGTAGGTTCCAAAGGATAAAAAAAAGTGGGAGCATTTACTAATCAGACATACACTATAAGGTGAAACTTCAAAGCATGATTTGGTCTGATAAAAAAATAAAGTGTACCTATAATCATTTGGTTCTTAAGAACTGCTTAAATGAATTTTAATAGACATATATATATAACATACTCCCAGGAAAACCAAATGAATTTAAGCATTCTTTGAGAAGAATTTTAAAAATTCATATAGATCAATACTTACTATTAGCCCGCTGAGCTTTCTCCTCTCCTCAGAAACCCAAACAAGTAATATTTATAAACCTTCAACACAATTAACTCTCTTCACCATCACAATTTTATATACTACCTTGTTTCCCTGATAGTTAAATCTCATTCTTGTAACTCTTGAATTGCCACCAGATCGGAAACAGGTTATTTGTTGAGAATGGCCCCATTCAAACATTCTCACACTTCCATCTTGAGCTCCTGTCAGATCTGCATTATAACAGGGCAAAAATTGCATATTTATTTGAAGCACTACTGGGAAAATTTATTTTCTTAAAACAACTTGAAAATGTTTATGGAAGAAAAACCAAGAAATTAATCATAGTCAATTTATATAAATTTACCTTCAAATGAAATTTCATTTGAATATTTAATCCTTAAAACAGATATATTATTTTTTAAAATTTTTATTTAATTTTTAAAAATAGAGATGAAGTCTTGCTATGTTGCCCAAGTTAGTCTTTAACTCCTGGTCTCTAGTGATCTTCATGACTGGATATCCCAAAGTGCTGGGATTATAGGCATGAGCCACCACACCTAGCCAATTGTACTATAATTTATATATTTTTCTCTAGGAAAAAATATCAGATTAAAAAAAGTTGTAAAGGCATGGTAAAAACAATTTTTTAAAAAAGTTATCCTAATTGATTTAGTATCTCAAATATATGCTCTCTGTTTGTTTTTAATTATTTATTTAATTTTTAGTTTTTATTATTTTAGAGATGAGGGTCTCCCTATGTTGTCCAGGCTGGTTTTGAACTTCTGGGCTTAAGTGACCGTCCACCTCAGCTTCCCAAAGTGCTGGCATTACAGGCAAGAGTCACTGGCCCCACTGTATTTGCTTAAGAGATGGGGTCTCATGACTGGGTGCAGTGACTCATGCCTGTAATCCCAACAACTTGGGAGGCTGAGGTAGGAGGATTGCTTGAAGCCAGGAGTTCAAGACCAACCTGGGCAACAGGGAGGCAGTGTCTATACAAATTATTTAAATAAATTAAATAAATAACATTTCTTCCCCAAACCGTGATACAACCTTTTCAAAACTTCCAAATATATCGCACTCCCAGACTTTAAGCTTTATTATAAAGGTACAATAATCAAAATCGCCTGGTATTGGTACAAGAAAAGGCATACAGACCAATGGAACAGGATAAAGATACTGGAAGCAAAACCTCAATTTCTTAACCAACTCATCTTAGACAAAGCCTCCACCAACAGCCACTGGGGAAAGGAGAACTTATTCAGTAAATGGTGCTGGGAAAACTGGCTGACCACATGCAGAAGATTCAAACAAGACCCCTACCTATCACCACACACAAAAATCAACTCTAAATGGATCAAAGACCTAATGCAAAACCTCAAACTATAAGAACCTTAGAAAACGCAGGAGACACCCTTATGGAAATTGGAACTGGCAACCAATTCCTGATCAAAACCCAAGTGCCCATGCCACAAGAGATAAGATAGACAAGTGGGACCTCACTAAATTGACAAGCTTCTGCAAAGCAAAATAAACCATCAAGAGAGTGGGGAGACAGTCCACAGAATGGGAAACAATATCTGCTAATTGTATAACTGAAAAAGGGCTAACATTCGGGAGATCTACAAGGAACTCAAACGTGATGAAAGGAAAAAACTAACCCAACTAAAAAGTGGGCAAAAGACATGAATAGGCACTTCTCAAAAGAAGATATACAGGCAGTCAACAGACACATGAAAAAGTGCTCAGTCTCACTAATCATCAGAAAAATGCAAATCAAAAC